TAAATTTTACAATGTGCTTTTTTACTGCACAAGGAATTCTATTTTCCATAAAAATAGTATATACATTTTTGCCACTTGAAATGAGGTTTACATTTTATTGCAGTCATTAAATGGTCACTTGTGGCTGTTATGACCTTCGTGAAATGCCAAATAGTCCACATTACTATAATTATTATCAGTTTATTTAACCTCTAATAAATGTTTAATAAATGTCATATAATCAGGCACAACAGCTCATCGGTAGATTACAAATAAATATACATATGTACATATGTATATACGTGTGTGTGTTGGTATGTTGATAAGAATTTCAACCCTACCATGACACTGTTGCAGTTAATCTGTTGTGTTTTTGGTTTGAATTCCTCGCAATCGACAGAAAAAAAAACAATACACCTACATACCACCATTATTTTTGTAATGTATTAAAATAAGAAAAAAAAATATTTTACAATTTGTGTTTTTCTGCAAATAGAAGAAAAACAGGACTGAATGAAATTTACTTATTTTAGAAATTTTAAGTTGAGAATTTGAACAGTAAAATCGATTTTGAATCATACTTCGTGATTTGGATTTTTACGAACAGGAGAGCACGTTTGTTGCTTTTTTACAGTGAACTTAAAATATATCAATTAATTAATTATATTATAACGTACTGGAAATATTAGTAGTAGTAGTTATTTTCCTACATATTTTCACGTCTAATTGGTTATTATTTTTACTCAATATTATATTGTCAGGTATTGTTTAACATGGTGTTTCTCGGATTATAAATTTAAAAAAAAATTGGAATTTGCGAACTACGTGAAAGTTCAATAGCTTTCTTCGTAGATCCACGAAGTATACAAATAAAAAAATAAAATAAATGAATATTTTCATAATTTCATTCATAGTTATTTTTTTTTCCATATTGTACATGTACCACGCTTAGAATAAAAAGAAAAATGCTTATAATCATGAGAAACCCACTATTATTTTTTTTCAAAAAATTTATACATTTCATTAATATCACAACCATTTTTCTAGGCGTCGCAAACGGAATGGCAAATTTAATATACACTCCACCTTATGGGTGTACAAATGATCAATATGAGTATATGCTTCTTGGTAGCTCCTATATAAAGGCAACCCCTATTACTCGGTATTGGGACACATTTTGACGAAGATCCCCATAGAAAGGTATTTAGAATTCCTGCTTATTGGAGGTCTAACAAATTTTCCAGAAAAAATTGGTATTTTGAATTATTAAGCTATATTTCAGTATACCAAGTTTTTGGAGGCTGGTAAACATAAACCAGCCTCCAAAAACGATTTACGATGTTGGCCCATGATCTGAATTAGCTTTCATATGAAGAGGAACCAATCCAATTTTTGTATTCTGAAGTTTTTACCCGCACTTTCCTATCGAAATGGCTGTAATGTTTTGAAAAATCCCCAGACAAATAATTTTCAATGTCATGGGCATCCTATAAAGGTTCAGACCAATTTTTGGTATTTAGAGAGTTTGAAGTTTTTAGGAACTGGGAAACGAACCTGTCTCTAATTTGGTACTTAATTTTCTAAGAGTATAAACAACCTACAATCAGACAATTTACAATGCCATGGTATGTATGTAAAGGTCTCGACTTTTTAAAGAAATGTAGAATGTGAAGAGTATATAAAAGTCGACCTGGCCGAACATAACCACGTCTTTAATTTTTTTAAAGACGACAGACGGAAGGACATGCATAAATCGACTCAGAATATTCTATATTGTTTCCAACTTGAAAAACGAGCTCAAAAGCCCAGAAATTTTGGAGGTACTCGTATATGCTGTTTACCCGACAAAATGGACCTAAATTTATAATTTTTAGTGGACACATTTGCTACCCAATAATAACTCAAAGTTCAAAATTAATTCTGGTGAAAATTTAAAAATTCGGTTGAAAAACGCACTCAAAACCCCTAAAATACCGTAACATGGGGGTACCTGTATATGGGAGCTACTCGAAAAAAATCTATATTTATAATTTTAGTGGACAGATTTGCTACCCAAAAATAACTCAAAACACCGAATTAAATCGAATTCTGTCAAAAAACGCGCTAAAGAACCCCAATTACCAAATATTGGGGATTATGCCTAAACGTGGACCGATATAGTCCATCTTTGAACTTGACCAGCCTGCAAACAAAAGACAAGTCTATGCAAAATTTTGGCGATTACAACAGACAGGCGGAAATGTTTAAATCGTCTGGCCTAAGTGCCTATTATATTCTCAGAGCGTAAACAATAAATAATTAAAGAACTTTCCCATATAAATGTTCCGACTGATTTTCTGATTTTTTGGTTTTAGACCCATGTTCGTTTGGGCCAGATCTGTTTCAAATAATTTGGAGTCGTCTCTGTGTCTGCAAACATTGCACATCGTAATATAATATTTCTTTCAAACTTAGTTTAAGTTCGAACCAGTAAAGAAAGTAGTAAAGTCGGACTGGGCCGACTATATGATACCCTTCACCACTTTGGGTATATTCTACATATGTATCCTAACAGACGACAAGTTTTTGTTATATATCTATATCTGAACCGTTGTGTCAATCGGCCTAGCTATGGATCTTTTCACGAAGCTTAGCAACAACATATTAGACTTAATTCAGTACCCTATTCGTGCAAATCGAAAGGTATATAGGGACTTTGGTGCACCAGTTACATAAAATCGGACGAAAATATATATGGGGGCTATATCTAAATCTGAACCGACGTTCACGAAACTTTGCACACATCATTCTAGACCTTATTCATTACGCTGTGCCAAAATTCGAGCAAATAAAAAGATTTCCAGGGACTTGGGTGCTCCAATTACCTAAAATCGGCCGAAACTATATATGGGAGCTATATCTAAATCGGAACCGATATTCTCGAAACTTTGCACACATCATTCTAGACTTAATTTAATACGCTGTGCCAATTATCGTGCAAATCAAAAGGTATATATGGACTTTGATACACAATGTACCTTAAATTGGACGAAGATATAACTGAACCGATTTTCACGAAGCTTTGCACATATCATTCTAGACTTTATTCATTACGCTGTGCCAAATTTCGTGCAAATCGAAAGATATATAGGGACTTTGGTGCACCATTTACCTTAAATCGGACGAAAATATATATGGGAGCTATATCTATATCTGAACCGATTTTTCCCAATTTATATTAGGTTCGTCCTTGGGCTAAACAAGTGAGCTGTGCCAAATTTCATCCAATTCGGATCATAAATGAGACCTGTACTTTGTTTACAATTTAACATGGACAGACGGACGGACGGACATGCGTAAATCGACTCAGAAAGTGATTCTATGCATATTCTCAAAAGGAACCATGTGTCTATCTCGTTTCCTTTGGCCTGTTACAAACATATGCACAAAGACATAATACCCTGTACCACAGTGTGGTGAAGGGTATTAAAAGGAGGTTATATGGGGACGACCCCAAGAAGGGGGCTATCCGAAAAAATTGATTTACATTTATAATTTTTTGTGGAGAGATTTGGTGCCTATTAAGAACATGAAATATTAAATTACAGCCAATTCGGTGGAAAGTGCGATTAAAACCCCCAAAATACTGAAAATTAGGAGGCACCGTTATATGGGGGCTACCAGAAAAAGTGGGCCTATATTTATACTTATTTGTGGAGACATTTTGTATCCAATAAGAACTCAATGTACAAAATTTCAGCGTATTCGGTTGAAAAACGCGCTCAAGATACCCCCAAAATACCAAAATACAAAGATTGGACCGTGGACCGATATATCCCATCTTCGAACTTGACCTGCCTGCAGACAAAAGACAAACCTATGCAAAATGTCAGCAAACCTATATCAATTCCTTCTGAAGATGTGATTACAACAGACGTACGGACATGGCTAGATCGTCTTAGAATTTTACCCTGATCAAGAATAGGGTCGGAAATGAATATTTCGATGAGTTACAAACGGAATGCAACATTAATATACTCTCCATACTATGATAGATGGTATAAAAATCAATCTAAATTCTGCACATCGTAATATTTTTACCTAGCTTAGATCGAAACCAAACATGGGACCCATAGGTACACTCCTTATGATACCTGCCCCAAAATGGTCAACATTTGCTGAACATTAAGTGTAGAATTGAATTAAATTTTGTACAACCTAATATTTTAACCATGCCTGTATAATGTTCGAAGATGGGACCTATCGGTCCACTCCTTTTTGTACCTCCCCCCATAAAGGGTCAACATTTTGCATATCCAATTTCATTACAACTTTTCATTTGGTAATATACTTATCTTACATAGATCAACCTTGAAGATGGGACCCGTTGATCCACTCCTTCTTGTACTTTCCCCATAAAGTGCAAACATTTTGAAAATTTATTAATATCAAGATACTGGAATATTATATTTGATACAAACTTTGTAAATTGTATTTTTTTAAACCTACCAATTTTTTTTAAATCTGTGGAGAGGTACCAGTCTCCACAGATTAAAAAAAAATATTAAGCGAATAATAAAACCTATTTTCAATTCCGTAGATCTCTGCAACCTATAGGCTGCGTTTATATAAATCGGCAGCACCGACTGACACTTTTCTTTTCAATACTTTTTCCATTGTTATAAATTCGTTGTTTTTCTAATCAGACACCCAGCTAGACCACAAAAAAACAACACATTCATATTTTCGATTATTGTACATTTTCGTAGTTATTTATTTATTATTCATTCAATCTTTCTAACACTAAACATTATTGTAATAACAATGACACTATATAATCGTTTATTTTATTCTAGTAGTTTTGTTTTATTATTTATGCAACAACAAATATTTCCGTTTTTAGTATAGTTACACGAGAAAACAAGAAACTAAATACAAAACAATAAAAAATCACAACAATTTGAACTATTGTTTACAAACACACTCACACACGGACACACATCTATCAGACAAGCACTTATTTCATTTCATTAGCCCCCAGACCTAATCACAAATTCTGACGTCGTAACTTTTCGGCTATGGCAGCCACCACAGCCGCCCCTTTGCCGCTACCATCATCGGCCAACATATACTTGGTGGTCTTATCTTTGGTCCAGAGTGCGGTATAATCAATTATCCACTGTCGCAGACGGGGATGATGTTTGTAGACCGAGCCATCAATGGCAATGGTAATGTTATCGCCCTCCTCGGGTGACATGCCGTTCAACAGCACCGATGTGTTGAGGGCCACAAGTTGGGCAGCCCGTTTCGATATTAAACCACAAACATAACGTATTACCTGCAGATCATCTGCCCCGATTTCCGAGGCATTGAATTTCTTTCGCAAAATATTTTCAACATTTTCCCAACCGTTGCGTAGGGTGTCATGTTCAATGACGGAGACATTGTCCGAGCCAAATGTCCATGGTTGGGGTAAATCATCAGCTGCCACTTGGGGTAGGAACAGTTGTTCGCTGTGTAGCTTCGCCAAAATGCAACGGCATAGTTCACCTAAATATTTGCCGGATATGTATTTTTCAAAGGTAAAGGAATTCTTGAGCAGCGAACCCTCATCCACTTGACGATCGTAATCGGTTTTGATGAAATCCAAAACACCGTTATCGCCAAAGGCACCCCATTCCACATCGACAACAACATGACGTTCGCCATGGCGTTCCTGTTCCCAGTGTAGGACACGTGAGCTGCGTTCCATATAGCAACCATTAGAGCCGGTACCCAACACAATGCCTATGCGGGTGTTTTTATCCATAATGGCGCCATGCATTAGGGTACCGGTGGTATCATTCAGTATGGCCACAATTTCTATATTATTTCGATTGTATTTCTTTAGGAACTTTCTCAAGATTAGCACGGCGTCTTGACCCACCACTGAAGGGCAATTGAAGGACTTTGTCCATGTCACCAGAACACCCGAATCGAGAGCACTCTGCCTCATGGGAAATGAGAATGTAAAACCCATCGAGTAGATACGATCTTCGTCCAGCTCCTGATCCCGCGCAAATTGATCTACACACTGGGCCAAATAATCGAACAAAACATCACCGTCTCCAATGCGCAAATTCTCCGGCAGCGGATAGTACTGTACAATTTCATCCAATACCTGACCCTGTTCCAAGGTCATTAGGAGAACACGTAAATTTGTGCCACCCAGGTCCATGGCCAAGTAGGTACCACTCTCAGTGCCATCGGGCAGCTCGGGTATATAGGTATTCTCCATTTGCAGCGAAGAGGGTTGCATTTTCAGAGCCAAATCCATTTCCTCCCTGAACACCTGGCGTATACGTTCCAACGCATCGTCCGTCAGATGGAGACCGTTCAGCAACGCCTCAATGCGTTGTTGTTTTTCCGGGTCGCATAATTGCAGTTGCTCGATTTGGTACATTTGAAAGACTTCACGCTCACGCACGCACTCGCTCACTCACAGAGTCGTTGTTTTGTTTACAATTTCACGAATTGTCGGATCGAACGATGGCTGGCTTTTCTACAAAGTTTTAGATCTTTGGAGGGCCAATAAATGACTGACTGAATGGCCGACTAACAACGGTCTGTCTCAAAGATCAGCGAACAACAACGATCTTAGCGCACGGCTGACTGAGTTATGACCAGCGGAATCAAAACTGAGATGAAAACAAGCAGTCACTTTGTTGAGTCAGTCACTTAAGAATTTCGTTGCGACAACTGGCAAGATTAAAACGCGACTACGGCGACGACATGAAATTATGATTTGAATATTGTAACGTTGTCGCTGTCGTTGTCGGTGTCACACCATTAACGCTGATGTCGACGTTGTTGCTGTCGCTGTCACTATCGTCGTCGTCGTTGCTGTTTTGTTGGCTAGTTGGTTGGTTGCTGAGCTGGTGGGTTGTGTCGTAGCCGACGTCGTAGCTCATAATGCGGATGTTATTTACAAATGGGGTAGTGTTTGTTTTCAGTTTTGGTTTTTGTTTCGTTTCTTCGTTGTTGTTTATTTATTTCGTTGTTTTTTTTTCTGTCGTGGCTGTTGCTTTCGTTTTGAGGGGCTCGCTCTTGGATATGTGTGTGATTGTTTGTTTTTTAGTGTTAGGGGCTCTCACATGTCGCTACACAAAGAATTGCAGTAATGGTTGGTGAGTTAGTATGTTAGGGTAAAGCAACAGTTGTTATATGCGAGGTCCATCTAAGTACCAATTGGGGTTGGGTGAGAAGGTCTAAACAAAGAATTGCAGTAATGGTTGGTGAGTTAGTATGTTAGGGTAAAGCAACAGTTGTTATATGCGAGGTCCATCTAAGTACCAATTGGGGTTGGGTGAGAAGGTCTAAACAGAAAATAGAACTTCTGTATGTTTGGTTTTACCTAAAATATTAACTTGTGTTAATGGAGAGGAAGAAAATGATGATTGACCGGCATAGGCGGCCAATAAACATTGACTTCCATAGGAGTGGTGGCTTAAGTTTAGTTTTGGGGGCATTTGCGGGTCGTTTTGAAATTTTCGGGGTCTTGATAACAACGGTATACTTTTTGACGGAGATATGGGCCTCCAATGTTCCGTTGGGACTCTTGTTTTTTCTTACGATTTTTAAAAATTACTGAGACAATGTGGGCATCAATGTTTGATATCCATAGCGTTTGAAATCCTGATTACACAAACACTATACAAAATAAAATGAAATGTGACCGCGTAGCCGGAGTTGCCACCTGTCCATAGAAGAAAGCCTTAAATCCCGGACGAAGGCCTTCTTCCCGCAAACACTATTCTAATTAAAAGGAGATTCGGTCGCGTAGCCTTAGTTTCCAGAAAGTCTGAAAAAAGGCACTGGAGGCCGGCTACACACAAACACGCATACTGATTTTCAGAATTGAATGGTCCCGCGGAATTTTGGAGATGGATATCTCAGAAAGTATGGATTTATTTGATGAGTATATTATATTTTTGTAATTAGGGCTTCAAACGCTTTAAACTGATACCCACATTGCCTTAATAAATTTTAAAAAGCAGTGAGCGGAGCAGTATAGTCGGACGTGGCCGACCATACGATACCCTACACAACTACCACGGAACTCTAACTTTCTGCGGATGTTTATTCCCAGCCTGGGCAATATTTCGTTATATTTGCTCAATCTAGCCCAATTAGAGATCAACAGCACCTCTTGATTACACTCACATATTTTCCGAATATTCATATTCAGTACAGCCATTATAATTAATTGTTCAGATTCCCTTCGGCCTGTTATTGACATCAAATCGAAAAAACACAAAAATTAAGTATTCGGTCCACTTCATCCCAATATTATAATCTGATCATCACCGAAAATTATAGGCGTTGTCTTTGACCATAACTGGAACCTCATGCAACATTTAAAAGCGGTCAGTGTTATATTTCCGCCCTCTGTTGTGGTAATGGGTTACTAAATAATATCGGAATACGTAGAAACCTCTGAATATTTATTTGCAACTCTCACATCCGAGTTCATACGATAATATAAAAAATGTGTTTGGACCATAATTGCGGCCTCTGGAGCGACCAGAAAAACCGACAAAAATTTAGTATTTAATATTACCGATCTTTACCAAAAACAATAGGGGACTTCATTGGCCAGAACCCATCCTATATGCAAAATTTCGTGAAGATTGGTCCATAACTGTGGCCTCTATCGTGTTTACAAATTATAATGGACAGTCGGACGGATTTGATCGACTCAGCTAGTCGAGATATGACGATCGGTATACTTAAAGGTGGGTCTAGAACCAATATTTCGCGGCGTTACAAACTTTTGGGTATAATTATGTGAAAATACAAGGGTCCCAACAGAACTTTGGAGGCCCATATTTCCGGACTGCCCTAAACTAAACTTGATACATAACGGTATCCTTCAAAATATTCAGTATTTTGGGGAAAATTGAAAACGTTTTTTAATCGAATTGGATGGAATTTTGTATTTTCGGTTTTGAGTGAGAACAAATTTTTCTACCAAAATTGTTAAATAATGGTCTGATTATTTGGAATAGCACCAAATAACTGTATCTCAAATATTCTGGAATTTAGGCACGATTTTCTTCCTACTACTATATAACTGTACTGCACTACTATATAACAGCACTTCCCAAATGTTGGCATTTTGAGCAGTATATCATATCCATATTGGTTCACTCTTTCGGGTATACCCCATAAAATTTATAATGTAGTATTTTGGATAATGTAGTATTTGGATAGACGATCTGCCTCATTCTTGTTCTTCTTCGAAGGCCCAAGCTTCATTTTCCTCTATGTGACATTACTATGAAGTTTCATACTTTTGGAGGACAAAATATATTTTTGTCGAAAATCCAAGCTTTTTCATATCCACAAATGTCCAGTTTAATTATACCCTCAGCCTTATGGCTAATGAGATTAAATACACTTTGATACAGTGAAGGCGTACCTCATCGCAAAATTGGTGTTAGAACCCATGTTTCTTTATACCAAATTAGTTTCAGATTTCGTGTAAATCGAAAGATATATAGAGACTTTGGATGAACATATATATGTTAGCTGTATCTAAATCTGAAATTTTTCAATAACACACATCACTCAAGACTTTTCATATCCACCAAATCACGTGCAAATCAGTATATAATTATACCCTAAAATGATAAAATAAAATGTACCTCATCGAAAAATTGGTGTTTTCAGAAACTTAGCACACACCGTTCTATATTTAATTCAGATTTTTCGTGCAAATCGAAAGATATATAGAGACTTTGGTACACCATTTACATTAAATCGGATGAAAATATATATGGGATATATATCTAAATCTGAACCGATATTCTCGCAACTTAACTCAAATCATTCTAGGCTTAATACAGTACGACATGCCAAATTTCGTGGATATCGAAATATATATAGGGGCTTTGGTACACCATTTACACAAAATCGGACGAAAATATATATGAGAGCTATATCTAAATCTGAACCGAGCAAATAAATGAGCTATGCCAAATTTCATACATTTCGGATTATAAATGCGATCTGTACTTTGTTTACAATTTAACATGAACAGACAGACGGACATCGACTTAAAAAGTGATTCTATGCATATTCTCAAAAGGAACCATGCGTCTATATGGTTTCATACAAACATATGCACAAAAACATAATAATCTGTCCTTGGCTTTTTAAGCTGACACTTTTTATTTATGTGGTACAATGATGCATTTGCGTTCATTTTATTTTAATAATTTACCAAAGACCTTACGTTGCCAGATTGGCTGTAAGCTCTTCTGGTATATAAAGTGATGTTGGGTATCATATAGTCGGTCCCGCCCCAGTTGTCCATGTATTATATTGTACAGGGTTTTAAATTCCAATTTGTAGTGTAGGGCATAAAAACTGTCCATAACTTCCATATCTGATTTAATGGTGAGCTGAAACTTGATTATGCTTCGCAATGACCTTACCAACGATAGCTCTCGCACTCTATTATTTTTCTTCTTTCTCTCTATCAGTTGGAGAATCTAATCAAATGTAAATGTTCGGTTGTTTGATAACTAAGACGCTTATCAATGCTTGCAACATACAAACCATACACATACATGTAAAACCTAAGTCAATAAATGGGTCAACAACATTTGAAATATTTGTCAATAAGCGAAGTTCAATGTTGGGCAAAACAAAGTTAAATGGAAGTCACTTTTATACATCTAAAACGATTATTTTTTTAAAAGACAATTGGGTACCCTACAGCTATTCAGATCATACACGTGATCAATGTGCTTTAATGTTTCTTATTACTATTATTTTAACCTATATATCCAAGTTCTCCTTAGGGTTCCCTAAAAATCACTTTCCACTGTTATTGTTTATGAAAAAACTACAAACATTTATTATTGTTTATAGAAAAAACTACAAAAAATTAGCATGAGAATTTCTTTTTTCCCCTCTCTTTGAAATTCAAATACAATAAACAATAGCAAAAAAAAACACTCTTTAATTTGCCAAAACCGAAAAATAAACAGATACAAACAATAACGAAAACAGAAAAGAATAAAAACAAAGAAACACGACTTCGGGTTTGTTATTACACGTGATAAGCTGTTCTCCTCATAAATAGCTTAATTTCAGCTAAATCGCGCGCTCTGTCGTGTCTGGTGTCTGGCCATTTAATTTTTTTGTTTTAATCTTGAAAATAACCACTTCTTGGTGTTGGCATTCAATTGACAAAGTCAAAGTACGTGAAAGCGACATAGACGAAGATTTGAATCAACGAAATCGGGGGAATTTTGTGAAGAATTGTTGCTGTTTTTATTATTTTGAGTGGCTTTCTCGGCATGTGGCCAATTAATGTCTAGTCTAATTTGTTAGATAATAAAAAAACAACCTATTGTTGAAGATTAGCGAAAGGTGATGCCACACTGACTTGGGTATAATGTCCAAGAAGATCAATATACTTGTGCATGATCGCAAACGTAATTCCCGATTAAAAGGCTAGTATGCTAGTATAGACGATGAAATTTCAAATCCAACTTATTGGAAAAATCCGCTGTTATCGACCAGGTTTTGTACACATTGTGATTGGAAAATATGACATTAAGGTCAAAATTCTGATAATAGGGAAATCTAGTAATTCTGCGAAAAAAAATAAATAAATAAATAAAACCAGTGAGCGGAGCAGTATAGTCGGACGGGGCCGACCATATAATACCCTAATGATACCCTACACAACTTCCTAGAAAATCTCACTTTGTGTGATTCTATATTCTGAGTCTGGCCAATATTTCGCGATATTTGCACCCTCTTGACTGACTAGAGGTCAACAAATATTACTAATATTCAGTACAGTCCTTCTAATTATTTATCCAGATTCCCTTCACCGTGGGTTGTGCGATGATGTTCAGCCTTCAATTGTGGCCTATATATTGACTAGAAAAAA